GCAAGTGGGAAACGAAACATTTGTTAACGGCCTTGTCGACGGTTTTTCCTAGTTTTTTCTCCACTGTCGTTCTACTTCGCATCTCTATACTCAGTTTCAATCGCCATAATACCCCCTTATTGAGCCCGACTTTTGCCTTTAAGGACTGCTATTAAGAATTGGAAAAGAGGCTAAATGTAGACTTATTTTCGAAACAAGAAATGCCATCGGTCACTCTAATCTGAACAATAAAATCATTAATTCAAAAAAAGCTTACTCAATCCACTCCAGGAGTTCTCACAGTTCGACCACGGTAACGAGAAACTAATAGAATTAATAAAGTAGAACAGAGACCATGCGGAAACGATGTTCAAGTAAATCGCTATTATGCACGATATCAGCACCATAGCTACACCAACACCTATAAAAAATAACTTTTCTTAATTGCATACTATGAAAAAGCGAACAATTGAAAGTTGCAAATTGAACTCCAATGATGTCTTTCTAGGAAAGATACCTTTGAATAGCGGAACTACGTTCCATACAGAAATCGCAGCCAACGAAGAGAATTGCCCTAGGACCATCTCCATAAAAAACATAGGCAGTGCAGCGACTACAAGAACTATCAAGTATGGAATAAAAAACGCCACACCGCCGTGTTGAAAAATTAGGAATGGAAATCGCCAAAGGTTTCCTGAAATATAATTTTTAGCACAACAAACAACTTCATCTCTGTGAATAAATAGTCAAATTTCTAGAATACCGAAGTTACAAACCACGGTATTCAAGAAATCTCAGGTCCACGCAAGGATAAGCATACCTATCCCAAAAGTGAATCCTACGGCCGCCAACATGTAGTCCGTTTTTGTGCTCCAATTGCCGCGAATACGATTTTCATCACCCACCCCATTAGTCTCTTCAAACGGATATTCTATGTCACCTTCTCGAACATATCCTGGCAGTTTTGCGTCCATCTGAAGCAAAAGCAAAACCAGTCATAACTGCAGTAACCAGACGCTTCACAATATAGGAAAGCAAAATAAAAAAAACAGAAAATCATTGAAAAATATAACATTGGCGAAAATCCTGCCAGAAAATTTGTTAATAGTTGACCAAGCCTTCAGAAATGATTTTCGCGGCCGATCATTTTCGCCATAAAAAATGGTGTTAAGTGAGTCGCAGGCACTGGATGCGGCAGGATCGCGACTGACAAATTATTAGGTGTTGCACCAGATCAACGTACATTCAGTGCGAAACGAAAAAGAAGAAAAGAAGGAAGAATGCTCTACGTGAAAAAAATATGATTACGCAAATGACCTTCACCTGTTTCAAGAAAGGAGGATAAAGAGAGTTGTCGATAAGTTCCTTTCGACTGCTCCGCTTCGACGACAACTCTGCCGGTGTCGCCGCCCGGCCTTGACTACTGCTCAACGACATGGGCGTTTGTCAGACCAGCTTCTCGACAGTATCTGGAAATGTACCGGTGAAAAACTGGACGAAGTTGAGATACATAATGTGGCTCTTGACTAATGGGCCGTACAAAGCTAATTCGCCAGAGAAAAGTTTCTCCAGAGCCGTCTGACTTGTAGGGTTTCTGAAAGACGATAACAGTGAATAAGATTGGGAAGTTTGCGCCAAGAACAGAAGTTCGGAAAAAGTGCAGGAAGGAATATACAAGAGTGCTGACCGTGCAGAGTTTGGGAGGGATGGTGCAAGCCTGAACAAAGAGAAGCAAAAGAAGAGAAGCACGCCAAATACGTTGACAAACATACGAGTCCGTTGTTGCCGCGCTACTAGCTGGGCAACGACGAGCGCAGACGTCATTCACCTTTCACTGTTTCATAGGGAATGTAAGAAGTTAAATCATACCTTAAAAATATTTTTGAAAAAAAAAGCTATAAAGCATTTGCCGTTGATCAATCCCTTTTTGGGATGCGGCACGCATTCTACTTCCATTTGTACATTCGCAGTGGCGTTTGAATGCGATGTGGCCTATACAATGACTTGCGGGGGCCAGCCGATGTACAAGTCAGTGTTTTTTATCTCGTATAAAACAAAAATGTGAAAGTCATATACAAACTTCAATCAAAACTTCAAAATAATCGGGGACAATGGTGGTTGTTTGTGACACAAGAATGCACTCCCACCCAAACAATGAGTTCTATAAACTCCTGGAACTAAATTCATCTATGACTGATGCCTTTTTTACCTATTTTTTTCTACAAAAAAATGAATTCATGCTAAAAGACACACATGGAAGGGAGAACCTGAGTAGTGCAAGCATACCGAGGACAGGAATGTAAGTGCACAACAACTTCCAGACCGAGCCCCAATATCAATTCTTTGATGGTAAGAGATGAATTTTTCCGAAGTTGAACTTCTAACCAAGCCGGAAACTTTCATCTCTATGATTACCCTTGATCCGTTAGGATTTATTGACCGACGTAGCAAGACCGTAGCCGATCGTTAATCGTGCTGAACACGGATTCAGAATGCACACGCTGAAACTGTACTTTTCGAGTAGATGTTTCCGATGGGCATCGAGAAAGGAACATCAGGACGCCGCTACAAAGGTCTGAATTCAATCAATTTGCGAATTCCAATAAACCCTACGATTGGAACTTAGCCCAACTAAGCAAAATGAGTTGGTAAGTAACAAGAAATTTAGAGTCTAACACGCCTAATTTTCGCTACTCTGTTCTAAGGAGATAAAATCTAGAAATGTAGTTTAGGTGAAACGAGATTAATATCGATGTGTCGCAACGTATGTCGAAAATTATCTGACCCTTCTCATTACTGGAATGAGCGGAAACTCAGCTATTGATTGAGAGCTACGAAGCTGCGCTATGCAAAACCATGCCTCGAGCTCAGTATTGAGTTACAGCAGAAAAATATCTTAATGCCATTAGGGCTTCTAAATTGTCGCTAAAATCGATGAGCCTGTGAATTCACAACGCTGTGGCCTAAATCTGAAAATACATCTTAAATGATGTAAAAATGTAAATATATCTTTAATTGAATGAAATAATCAAGCTTTCGTCGTGTCAGAAACCTTCTGGCATGCGCCACGCATGCTACCTCCATTCAGAATCGTAGTGGATACGTCGCTGCGTATGACCTATGTAATGACCTGCAGGGGTCGGCCAATGTACAAGTCAGCGTTTCATCCTCTCAATCAGGCAAGTCTGGTATCACTAAGCTATCTCGTAGGAATGGAAGACTTGTATGGCCCAGGCGATATATGATTAGGAACTTTAACCCGATCGTACGTGTAGTAAGTGGCGCATCACTTGTTCCTACACCATCTCTGCCTTATAATTTGAAACGTGGTAGAAATTGGTGGCTTGGTAAAGTAACAGCCCCAGATGAGGTCGTGTCGAAGAATCTACTCTGTAGGTGGGATAGAGTAGCCTACGAATATCCAGATTGTAGCAACTCGAAAGTGCGCGACAATAATTGATCTGGTGGTGACTAATGTGAACTTATGGACGAGATACCTCGCGCACACCCCATGGTACGCAACGTGGATTACGACGTAGCGGCTAATTCAAATACGCGCGGGTTAGTGGAGCCATGGAGCAAGCAAGTTCAGACAACTCGTCCGCAACGCCCCTTCTTCAATGCGAGAGGGAAGAGAGGGAGTTCTTGTTATAGGGCTTCGTCAGTGGTTTCTTTTTCTTTTTAGCCAACTCGACACAACAATTTCATTATCGACCTCTGTTACCCCACCAATTTGGTCGCGGTTCTTGCTCCAGAAAAGAAATATATTTCGAAAAGAGGATGCAAAAACGGAAATTTTACACTTTCTGACTGCAAGACCTCTAACATTGGGAATTATTTTGTCGAAATTTCGCCTAAAGAGCATTGTTCGATGCTTAATGAACGACATTCATTTTGAGGCTTTCAAAACCAGTGGAAGGATCAAGTAATTCACTTTTGACTTTCTTAATTTTAAAAATTCAGATTAGAACAGCTTCTTCAGGGATGAAGACTTCCAACACTGGTGATTTGGATCTTGTTTTCTAAAGTGTCGATAACTATATAAAATAGGTGCATTCTTCGAGTACAGAGGAATATGAAGTTGCTTAACCCCCAAATGTGGGAAGTAAATACGATCCAAAAGATAACCAAAATCAAAAAAAAATCCAGTATTTCTTCCTATTATGCAAGAAAGATTCTATCTAAATAAGAGGGGGATTTTGGTGCGAAACACCCAAGATTCTCGGAAACCCTACAAACATTTTTTCTTCTATTGTGAAGATTCAAAAGTAGTAGTAGTCGACAAGTTTCCCTTTTCCACAAACGTAAAGGTTTATCCACCTCAGAGGTTAATTTCCCTGCGAAAACTGGGTTTTCTATAGTCGGCGTGAAGTACTGCACATCGCCCCCTTCTATCAGAACAGCCCAAACACTATCTACGTAAAAAAGAACAAACGAAACGGGGACGGAAGTGCAATACAAGTAGGATGGGCACGCCGTATTTTTCGAATACGGTAGGCGCGAAATGTATGTAAGTGGGGACTGTTGCCCGCTACTATGACGTGACGAGACGCTATGAAGTAACTCCTACATTCCAGCTTTTCACGCATGTCAAGTGACTGCCCTCACCTCTACCCCCACTCCTAGACTGGGTTACACTCCCCTGGCTCACGAATTTCTTCAATGACATACATTCGCGCCTACCGTCTTCGAATATACGGCGTGCCCATCCCACTTGTGTTGCACCGAAACACTTGGGGAATGTTTCTAAATGTTGAAACATAACGAGAAAAATAAATTATGGGGTTGTGGCCCTTGAGCAAGTTTTTCGCTGCGAAGTGTGAGTAATGAAAATGATTAGGGAAAAGCCCTTTCAAAGACGATCTACGAGGAAGGGAAGGATGTCGAGGTTCACAATGGCAGGTGTTGTGGAACAGATGTGGTCAGTATTACAACGTGCATTTAGCGCGCACACGAACGCGATCGACGGAGGAACTCACGGCGGGCTGGCCGGCCGACGAAATCGCCGTCGCCAGTAATTGCAAAGTAGTGTCATGACGACCGAAAAACTCACATACCGCAATCATAAGTACACCATTCGCGTTTGAGAAAACTGCCGCGGAACGCGATGTGGAACGTCGTCGGTGACTAATCCGTTACTGCACACTTAACCACCGAGATGACGAATCGACGGCGACAGCACAATGCCTGTAATGGGATTTCACTGCTGAATAGACGGCGAGCAAACAAGGTGACAAGCGGTCGAAGTGAGTTATGTGAAAATCGGGAATCCTCTTGAAACCACCGGTCTTTTTTTGTGGACAAAGCAGCGGTCGTGAAAGAGTTGGGCCGGGTGCTATCGCAATATGCGGGGGCATTGTGGTAGCAGTGCTTTAGAAATCGCGAAAATTTTCTTATTGTGAAAACAGGGGAATAGAGACAGCAGGGTCAGGTTCAATCCCCCCTCAAGGGGTTGGGAGCCTAATTTTTTTTTGTTTTGAACGACATAGTTTCTTCATTTTCAGTGCATGTTTACTTTGACCTACATACATTAAATGTAGGCCCTTTATCAGGACAATCCCAGTTGGGAAGACAGAGAAAATTTAAAGGGATTTTCGTCCCCCAACCCTTAGGGGAGGATTGAATCCTGCCCCAGGGTGCACGAGCAATTTTCATTCTCCCCGAAGTTCTCGCCCTAAAGTAGCGGCTTAGTCCTAAAGTATGCCCTCGTATATTGTGATAGCGCCTTGGGCCTTTCTTACACTCACATCCAAGCTCTCGACGGAACGCGCAGGGTTAGGGGGTGAAACTCCAGTTCGGGGGGGGGGCACTCCATTGCTATCTTATCCGTAGTACTAGAGAGCAGTTCTTTGGGCTATCGAACACTACGGATAAGATAATAAGTGAACGACTCATTTCGAGCGTACTTTTGATAAGGACCGGTGGATGTCCTACATTCCACACTACCTGCCCACATCCCATCCACTTTTCTGCACAGGTGATCCACCCTGGAGCTCCTCCACCCCTTAGGCCGAGGCAAAGTTCTCCATTCCCCTGGCCCATTACAGGGCCAAATTGGAGAGACGTGCGTTTCTCCTCCTGGGGCAGCAAAAATCGCCAGCAAAAAAGTGCGAGACCAGGCTGGAAACATTTGACTTCTCCGCCAAACAGCTCTTGTCACACTCCATCTATGTGCTGCGCATCCGAGTCAACGCGGCACGTTTTGAAGGAGAAACAGTTCAGAGAGTACAAAAAATTCGGAAACTGGGTGTCCGGGTGTCCCCCAAGAGGCCCACCGCGCGGCGAAGGAAGAGACGCAGATGCGGCAAAGGACGAGTCGCAGCGCGTGCTGTGCGATATGAGACGTAGTATGGTACACTCTATTTAACCTGACGCCTAACCGCTACAGTATGCGCTGCGACTCGTCCCTTTGCCGCGTCTGCGTCTCTTCCTTCGCCGCGCGGTGGGCCTGTTGGGGGGACACCCGTTGTCCATGTTCACGTGCGCACAGTTGCTACGATTCTTCGAGAAGGAAGTCGAGTCTTTGCGTGAGGAATGGCGAAGCCTGGCACAATAAGGTAGTATCCATCTTCTTCTGAGATGCCGAATTGTTGCTGTTCCAACAAATTTTGTGGTAAGTCCAAAAGCGACATTTACAATGCAACAACCCAATAAATTCAGGGGAGGTACTGTTTGGAACTGTCTTAGAAGTTCTTCTCAAATCGTTGATAGTAATAGGATGGAGGGAAGTTCTGGCACCCCGCAGCCAAAATTTGAAATTTATTTCTTTATCCTTTATTTTTTTAAGACCCGTAACATAATTGACTCAGCAGCATTACGTAGTCAAAAGTTGGTATTCACGATCCGATTCGTGCTGAGTTGGATGTCAAGTGTAAACGACATCGACGACGTCGTGACGCGGCCGCACGCATTCCGTGCTGACCACCACGGTCTATTTTGCTTTGGCAACACGGACTACCATACCGTCATTGTCAGAACTTTTAAAGATTGATTTTATTCAACAAAGGTGTTATTACTGAAGAGCATAGAGTTCATCCGGCCCTGCTTACCCTTTACTACCCCCTGCTCGGGAATCGAGCCAGACTTTAATAGAAATTTGTCCAAGACTAAGAACTGGATCGAAAATCGTCCCTGAGAGGATTCCAACCTGTAGAATACGAGTATCACATCAAGAAGCGTCTGGCCGCCGCGCCACAAAGGCTGCTTTCATAGTTCGCATCGGTGCGGTCGGTGCCGACGGCGCCGACGGCGCCGACCGCACCGACAGTGTGAAGAGCGTCAATACGCGCTCTGGCGCATGACGCGTACGTTGGGCGCAGATCGCGGGCTCCGATCGATAATCCTGGTTTTGGTGTATTTCTTGTGCTTTTCGATGTTTTTTTTTC